GCCGATGCCTCCGTCGCCTGGCTGGAGTGGCCGCGGGGGAGTCTGGAGTCGGGCGGCCGCTGGTGGGAGCCGCGGGTGCCCGGGCCGAGATTGGGGGGGCAAGGCGGGCGACAGAAGGCCGATGCCTCCGTCGCCCGGCCCTCTACAGAATCCACCCCCCAAACCTCCAGGTATTTCCCTCCTTAGAGCTGGCAACCCTACATTCCCCTCAGTGCCTGTTGGTAGGCAACTAAGCTTGGTCCTGTCACCTACTTTGGCCTTTGGGAGAAAACACATTGGGGCCAATCCTGATAGGGTTGCCAACTCCAGATGGGAAATTCCTGGAGACTTGAGGGATGGAGCCTGAAGAGGGTGAGGTTTGAGGAGGGGTGGGACCTCAGACAGGTACACTGCCATAGACTCCACCCTCCAAACCAGTCAGTCCCACATAGGGAACCATTGTTGCCAATCTCCAGGTGAGGGCTGGAGAGCACTCAGTATTACAACTGCTCTGCAGAAGGGAGGGCAGAAGTCAGCTGAAGTCAAAGGGGCAGATAATGGTAGGTTGATGGTTAGCTGGGAAGGAGATGGGGTTGCCAACTACATGCTGACAAATTCCTGGGGATTTGAGGGGTGGAGCCTGGAGAGGGTGGGGTTTGCAGAGGGGTGGGACCTCAGACAGGTAGAATGCCATAGACTCCACCCTCCAAACCAGCCATTTTGTCCTGGGTAACAATTGTTGCCAATCTCCAGGTGAGGGCTACAGATTACTCACAATTACAACTGCTCTTCAGGTAGCAGAGATCAGTTCCTCTGGAGAAAACAGTGGACTCTGTCATTATACCCTGCTGAGGTCACCACAGCAAATTGACACTGTTTGCCCAAAGCCAGAGCACTCTCCCAGAGCCTCTTTATAGATCTCGTTGTATTTATTTCCACAACGGGCCTTATTCCTAGTACATTATATACTTTAATAAGATTCTTTGTATTTTTGTATTGCTGTAAGAACAATAGTACACTTTTGTAAGAATATAAGCGCATTTAAACTATTGCAGCTTACTTGTTATTTTTTGGTGATCATAGGAGCTGCACCCCCTTCTGTATGTTGATTTAGCTTAGTGGGGGGAGAGGAAGCAGGTGGGTGGCTAGGAGCACTGCTACCGCTGCTGCTCTGCGGAGTGGGGGAGGAAGGAGGCAGGAGGCTGGGAGAGTGATGGGGGCAGAAAGAAAGAGTGATGGGGGGTGGGAAGAAAGAGAGAGAAAGAGTGATGAAGTGGGGAGGCAGAAAAACAAAGAGAAAGATGACAGGTCAGAAAGAGAGAGGAAGTCACATGCATGGAGGAGAAATAGAGAGTAAGAAAAGGGGGGCAGAAGGGAGAAATAGTGTGAGAGAGGTAGGGGGTGAGGAGAGAAAGCAAAGGTGTGACGAATGAGATAACCATCCCGCAAGTTTCTTGCGGGTCTCCACTTGTATATTCTATTTTTGTAAGCCGCCCTGAGCTGGCCTTGGCTGGGAGGGCAGGATACAAATTCAATAAATAAATAAATAAAATGAAATTTCTCTCCCTTCCTTGATAAAAGACCAGAGAAAGCTCTGTTAAAGCTAGTGTCCCAAGAGCTTGGGCTAAGAACTTCACAAGTTTTGCACAGTTCTCAAGGAATCATGAAAACTATAGTTTGGTATACTGGTGCCCTCTACATTTGCTGTGAAGTTTCATGTACTCCTCCTATGCTAATGACATCATGTGTACATAGAAAGCCTCTTTAATATGCCATGGGCTGGAGGGGAGAATGCCTTTTTTCCAGCATTGTTGTGCTTTGCTGCAGTAAAACACACAGTTGGATATTGCAGGCTTTTTAGGCTGAGTTGTGGATTTTGTTGTCCTCCTGTCAGTCTTGTTTTCCTCATGTCCATCTTACTGCCAGCTGGATCGCAAAACTCCCTTCTTGAAGGAGGTACAGGAAGAATTGACTTTTGTTGAGCAGTGAAGTGTTATTATTATTATTATTGTTGTTGTTGTTGTTGTTGTTGTTATTGTTATTATTATTATTATTATTATTTTGCTGCTCATCTTCAGGAGGTTTAGGGATAATGTCATTTTAATGTCAGTGTATGAAATTATCTTATAGCAAGTTAGACTATGAGAATTTCTAGCTCAATTTTGTTTGCTTTGACTTGCACTGACTTTCCAAGTCTTGGGTAGAGAAGGTCTTTCTCAGGCTTGCCACCTGAGGCTTTTCAGATGAAAATGCTGGGAGCTGAACTTGGGATCTTCTGCAAACTGAGCTGTATAACTGAGCTGCAGCCCCTCCTTGCCAGACATCTGTTTCCAGATGGGTGCAGAGGGGAAGTGACGCTGTCCGGGGTCTTCCAAAGCATCTCCTGTTCCAATGAGATGGATGAAAGCTGGGACTGGCTTTTTGCTTTGAGGAAGAATGGATCCAGGCAGCTCATTGGCAGGCACCATTTGGGGATCACATTTTGGACAGTTCACAAGGAGACATGGGGGATTTATCATTCAGCTCATACAAAAATTGGTACTTGGATCTATTTTCTGAAACATCAATATCATATGGTGTAAATTTGTGCCATTGAATGGCATATGATAAGGCTGTAATATGGAACCAGCCAAACTTTTTAAATTCTTGACCTGAAGTCAGGATAGGAGCTGAGGTTATTCTAAGTTTTTTCAAATCAAAGGCAAGTCCTAGATACCTTGTGAGTTACGTTCTAAAGAATAGTATTTGACTTAGCAGGCGACTCCTCCATTTCTTAGGCCAGGATACCATAATAGGTTTCAGTGGTCTAAAACATCACAGACTAGGCCTCTTTTGGGGGGATTAAATTTGCGAAGTGTGATGCACGTTTGAGAGAATGAGGCCAGCTCATAACATCCAAAGCATAACATAATAAATTTAAAGAATGCTAGAAACCTGAGCATGCCTGGGGCAGCTTCCCTCCTCCTTACTGTAGTGTTGATATTGGCAGGCCGTTGGCTGTGATCGGCAGCTTGGGAGCCAGGCCAAAGAGGACAGTTGTGGCGTCTGCGCTGGAGACGGGTCGACATGCAGGCTTGTGAGGGGACAAGTGAAGGTGCATCTGTCATCAGAAAAAAGTAAGTTTGCAACTTTAAATGTCGTTTGGCTTGACTTTGGGTGTGTCTACAAAAGAGGGTGTCATGTTGCAATGATGGCTGTTTCATTGTATAGTTCATTTGTTATTCAGAGTGGCTATTCATAAAGATTGTGCTAGATCACTCACTTATGAAATACTGCATATTTAAGGGACAGCTCTGCAAGAATTTAAGGCACGCGTTTTAACATAGAAATTCAATTTCATATATCAGGAATAGCTATCAAGATAGGCATCTTAATTCCTAGACCACATGTGAGCATCTGTGTTTGTATGCAAGGACAAAATACTTTTATAATTTTACAGCTGCATTTTGAAATCTCTTATGGATTCTCTATTGAAAGTGCCGTGTGTAATTCAAAGTTAAAGAATGATAGAGTACCAGGTCCAGAAGAATCCAATAATCATCTACTCCAGACATGCAGCCCCTCTCCCAACCCTCCTCAGTCTTCTTTCTAATTGGGGCTGGCGCAGTTTTCTTTCCCAAGAGAATACGTAGCTTTGTTTTTAATTGTTAAAACCAAGTTTCTAGTCCTTATGGAAATGGGGAGAAAAACAGGAACTGTGTCTTCAAATTAAACTCAGACTTGAAACAAGGGCAGAGCAAGACTTGGCTGTAGTCAGGAGAGGACTTTTTGTGCCCCAACAGTTCCCTTTCCTTTTTTGTAGGACCAACTACAAAGACCTGACTTTATGTAATAGTTATAACCAGGGGTCATTTCGTAGAAAAAGAGGAGCAGGAGCTCATTAGCATAATGCATTAGCATAACTTATTTGCATATGCCACACCTGCTGACATCACCGGAAGTATGTCAGAAGGCTCCACTCCAAAAATCTCCAGGTATTTCCCAACTCAGAGCTGGCGAGCCTACCCTCCTTTCTGTTTTGTTCTAACTTTGGGCAAGAAAGAGAGAGGGAGGGAGGGAGGGAGGGAGGGAGGAAGGAAGGAAGGAAGGAAGGAAGGAAGGAAGGAAGGAAGGAAGGAAGGAAGGAAGGAAGGAAGGAAGGAAGGAAGACTAGACCTCAATGGCATCCAAGGAAGCTGATGGGCAGTAGGTTCAGGATGGACAAAAGGAAATGCTGCTTTACACAGAGAGTGATTAAAATGTGGAATTCGCTGCCAGAGGATGTAGTGATGGCCACAGGAATAAACTGCTTTAAAGGGGGATTAGATAAATTCATGAAGGATAAGTCTATCAGTGGCTACTAGCCATTCAAGTCCAATGGCACCTTTAAGACCAGAAAAGTTTTATTCAAGGTATAAGCTTTTGGTTAAACTTTCTTAAAGGTGCCACAGGACTTGAACTTTGTTCTGTTGCTTCAGACCAACACACACCTGAATCTACTAGCTATGGTGACTGAGGGGAACCTCCACATTCAGAGGCAGTCAACCTCTGAATGAGGGTCTGGGACGCTGAGATAGAATTGTTTGGGAAGATTCAAACACGCAAGGAAGAGCAGCCCTTCGCATCATTTCCTGAGGCAGCCAGTGCTGCTCACCAGCCTCAACCTCTCTTCTACAAGCATGGTGCCCTCCACAAGCACCCTCATCACCCTCCCCCAAGAAGACACGGGCTCCAGGGAGCACAGGTCCAAGAGCACCCTGAGCAGCCCAGTTCCAGCTTGGATTATTATCCCCCCCCCTCCAACCAGCTCTGTGCTGTTGTTCCATGAAGGGCCATGGAAAGTGCATGCCCAGCGCATCTCCATACACTAGCCCAGGTGGCAACTGCATTCCCAGGGCCCCCCACATCCGAGGAGGCCCCCAAGGCAGCCAATAAAAACAATTCGAACCAAGATGCTTTAAATGGAAAGAAACATTGATTAACCCCAGTGAAACGACCACCAACCACATAAAATCATCAAACCCAGCAAGGGGGGGAAAGTACCAAAGTGTCCAGTGATCAACAAGCAGGCAAACAGCAACTGATTACAAATGCCCCCCATGACCAGTGGAACCACCAGGCCCCCTTCATTGTCTCTATGGAGATGTCAGGGAGTGGTTTTGGTCATCTGTAAGCTCTGGTTTGGGCAGGGGGGAGTGAGAAGCTCCCTCCCTCTCCTCCCCCTCCCTCTGGGTCCTTCTTGGCAGCCTGGGTTGCCAGCCTCCAGGTGGTACATCAAAACAAAGAAACACTGTGATGAAATTGACAATAACATTTAATAATTCCTGTGAACATCAATAAAAACTTATGCAATGTAGCTCAGGAAATTCTAACATATTTAAGAAAAAGTCCAAAATCCTCTATGAGCACCCGGTTCTTTACTCATTTCAAAAATCTTCCTCAGGAGTAGTCCTTTTATGTTAGAAGGTGTCAGCATCTTGATACAGTTTAAATACTTTTTTTGCTTCCTTCAAATAGTAGCAGTATTAACTTCTTTTTTGCTTTCTTCAAATTATTGCAGATTAGCTTCTTTTTGAAATTATCTTCCAGTTCCTTTTCAAGTATTTGAACTAGGAGCAAGCTAGTTAATTAATTTCTTAATAGTAGCAACCAGTCCTCTTTTTTTATCTGGCTAGAAGCATTCTTATTTCATATTGGCTGGCAAAAGAAGTATTTAAGTTTTTATTGATGTTCATAGAAATTATTAAATGTTATTGTCAATTTCATCACAATGTTTCTTTGTTTTGATGTATTTCCTGTACTGTAATCCCTTCTTTGGTTTTCTCAGCCTCCAGGTGGTGGCTGAAGATCTCCCGCTGTAATTGATCTCCAGGTGCCAGGGATCAGTCCCCCTGGAGAAAATGGCCACTTTGGAAGGTGGATTCTCGGGCCTTATACCCTGCAGAGGTCCCTCCCCTCCCCTGATGTGGTAATCCTCATTCAGGCTCCCCTCCCCATGTCCAGGTATTTCTGCACCCAGAGCTGGCAACCCCAGGAACACCAGCAGCAAGGAGAAAGGGCTGGGAGGGGAGGGCCCAGCCAATGGGGGGGTTGCTGATCGGGACTGACCAGCCCAGGCCAAGCCCCTGGCATGCTCCGCATCCAGCCTACACTTTACATGTGGCGATGGCGGCGCCCTTCTTCGCTCGGGAGGAGCGCACGGCTCTGCTCGGTGGCGACACACTATAAAGGCTGCGGGCTGGGAAAGGCTAAACTCAATTTAATGCCTGCCCAGAGGACTCCCAGCCGCCGTTTCTCTCCTGCTTTAACAACCGCCCTGTTGTGATTTTAGACATCCTGGCAGGAAGGGGCATAGAATCTGCAGCTCCCCGTTTGTCCCAGCCGGGCCTGCATTCCAATCCCCTCGGTGCCTCTACTCCTTGTAACTGTTTTAAGCATGGCCTTGAGCCCTTATTGTTAGCCGCCCTGAGCCTGAGGGGAGGGCGGGATATAAATCGCATAATAAATAAATAAATATAATAGCATAATAAATAAATAAATATCTTTGACACCCCTGATTTAGAGCCTCAGGAGGCAGTTGAAGACTGCTCTATTTAGGACTGCAGTTGACTGATATAGTTTTTATTTACTAGCAGTCCTAATTTTAAAATTGTGATCTTTTATGTGTTTCTATTGTTGTTTTATTCATATTGTTTTTAGTATATATTTATAATCTTTTTATTTATATTGTAAGCCACCTTGAGCTCCACAAGGGAGAAAGGCAGCTAATAAATGTTTTAAATTAAAAAAAATAAATGAAAGTAAAATCTGCAAGCATGAATGTGATAGCCTTCCTCTCATCTAGTATTCAGAGATAGACTTAATCCTGTAGATGGCTAAATATTCTTCATCAATTTTCTAATCCCTTTAAAACAAAACACAAAACCAACTAAAATTATGACTATCACTGTACTTTGCAGCAGTGAATTCCATAAATAATGCCTTGTGTAATACGTGTAGCTCCCATCAGATCTTGGAAGCTAAGCAAGGTTTGTGCGAGTTAGTCCTTGGATGGGAGGCCACCAAGGAGGTCCAGGGCTGCTACACAAAGAAAGGCAATGGCAAACCACCTCCAAATATCTCTCTTGCCTTGAAGACCCTACAGGGTAGCCATAAGTCAGCTGCATATTGATGTCACTTTCCACTTCCACCAATGTGCAGTCACTTTATTTTCCATTGTCTAGTCCATGATGCTGGATATACTCACAGAAATCCCATGTCATGCCCCAAATTCAGTGGATTAAAAAAACAAAAACAAACAAACAAAAGGCAAACAAACACATTCTGTGCAAACTTACAAATCTGTGGTGAGTTGGGGGGGGGGAGCCTTGTTGAAAACAGTCCTTAAAGAATTGGGATTTGATGTTGTGATATAAAAACAGCTGGAGTTTGGCTTGAGAAAGAAACTTGCCAAGAAGGGAGTTTGAGGTCTTGTTTGCTTCTGAGTCTATAGTGGGTTTTATTGAGATATTGAATTGTTGCCCGTCAATTGGACGGGCAACAATTCAGTATCTCAGGGTTTTGAGAAATGGCTGGTAAGGGCCCAATCCCCTCCAGATCTCTGCACAAAATGCCACATTGCAGACTCCTGCTGGACTTGATGTTCTTTGGATGACAGCCAGAGTTGTACGGTTTTCTCATCATTCCAATTCATTGAGGTTTTGTCAGGTGTTTCTTTCCTATATCTATCTTTTTGCTCCTCCAGGTGTACTAAAAAAAAGCACAGCACTCTAATGCACCTTAAGAGTTACTGTGCATAAGAGATTTTAAATTCATAGCTTTTGTCATAGAATCATCATAGTGCATACATTAAGAATGCAACACCTTTTCTCAATTGTTTGCACAGCATATGGAAATAATTTGAGAAATGTTTCCTAAAGTGAAGCGAATTGGGAAAACACAGTTTCTCTTAGTGATACCACATCAGTCGAGGTGTGTGCTGTATTTGCAGCTCTGGACAAAGTCTTGCCAAAAGATGGCGCATACGCAGTCATTTTCAAGGCAGTCACTCCTACAACTAAACCCTGTGAACTGCTGCATGAACCAGTAAGGAAGTAAGGAAAGGAATGCCCTGGATGTTGCTGCTTCACAACCTTTT